CCTCAACCTGCCGCCCGTCACAGCTGATTGGGCCAGGGCTGACACCTGACCTGAGGGCAGCCCATGGCTGGGCTTTTTGTCCAAACAGCCAATGTCTAGTACTTCGCCAATCAGATCCCTTGTTTTCGAAATGTGAACAGGGACGTTTGACAAGAATTGGTCAAATTCTTGGTGAGCACTGGATAAGACTCCCCAAACTTCAAGCTCCGAAGTGGAACCTTGGGTCTAGAATGTCCCTCCATTCTGGCCTCTGTGAAGCCCGGCCCAATTACCACTCAGAGATTCCCGTCAGTTGCCACTTCTTTATCATCCCTTGTGTCTCCTTCAGTGAGCCCCGTTTATTGAGTCAGCTGATCCCTAATGGCCAAAAGGGTGATAGCCACACGGGCTGTCCATCTGGTGTCCCATCCCTGACAATGCTCTCTGGAAGTCACACAAGATGCTCTGTGTTAACCAGGATACCCAGTCAGTAGAACTCCAAGGGCCCACCCAGCTTTGACTGCTTAAGATGCATCAGAAAAACGAGTAGCTAAAAATGCCATAGGGATTTTTCAGGGGAGCTATCATTCAAGGTCCCTGGGTGGCACAAATAGTTTGCGCTTGACCACGAACCTGAAGGTTGGCAGTTTGAACCCACCCAGAAGTGTGAAGTTCAGAGCCTTGAAGACACTCTGGAGTCAGTTCTACCCTGCAGCACATGAGTTCCCCATGAGTCAGAATCGACTTGACAGCTATGGGTTTGGTGTTTTTAACCCTGGTTGCTCAGTGGTTAAGCACTCAGATGCTAACCGAAAGGTTGGTAGTTTCAACCAACTAGCAGCTCCATGGGAGGAAGACGTGACGATCTGCTTCCACAAAGACTATCGGCTTGGAAACCCTGTGGGGCAGTTCTACTCTGTTTTTGGTTTTTATCTTTCATTCATTCACTCACTCAGCAACCCTGTACTGAGCGCCTGCTCTGTGCCAGGCCAGGATCAAACAGAAAGGCTGCTCTGAGAGGATTTGCCCAGGGCCCAAACCTCAGCAGCTTCAGCCTCTACTTCAAGCCATTTGCTGGAGGGTGAGGCCAGGAGTGTGGGCAGGAAGAGCAGAAGGAAGAAAAGGAGGCGGCAGAGACCTGCCCCAGGCCTGAGCCCGGAAGACCTACCCAGTGTGCTGGGAGAGGCCACTTGGGCACCTCCTTGTCACCACTGTCAGAATCCAGCGGTGTGTCCTAACTTCTGTCCTCAGCACTGACAGTCAATACATGGTGTGCAGGTTTCAAGTGCTCTCCTGCCTGTGCCCGTGTGAGGACCTCAGAACCACCCTGTCGGGTAGGCAGGGTAAAAAAAAAAAAGCCAAAAAACACTTGCCGTTGAGTTGACTCCAACTCATGGTGACTCCATTTGTGTCAGAGTAGAAGAAAATCATTGAGTTTTCAAGGTTCTGAACTTTTGGGAGCAGACTGCCAGGCCTTTCTTCCAAGGTGCCCCAGGTGGACTGGAACTGCTAACTTTTTGGTTAGTAGAACACTTATATACCATGGACTGCAGATAGAAAGAACAAATCTGTCTTGGAAGAAGTACAGCCAGAATGCTCCTTAGAAGCAAGGATGGCGAGACTATGTCTCACACACTTTGGACATGTTATCAGGAGGGAACAGTCTCTGGAGCAAGACATCATGCTTGGTAAAGTAGAAGGTCAGTGAAAAAGAGGAAGACCCTCAATGAGATGGATTGACACAGTGGCTGCAACAGTGGGCTCAAGCATGACAACAATTGTGAGGTTGGCGCAGGACCAGGCAATGTTTCATTCTGTTGTACACAGGGTCACTATGAGTCAGAACCGACTCGACGGCACCTAAAAGCAACAACAATAGAACACTTAACCATTTGCACCACCCACCACTCCATCTCGCCCGTGGAGGAAGCAAAGATTTTGACAGGTTAAGCACCCGCCCAACCCGGTAAGCAGCAGAGCTGGGATCCACCCGGAATCCTGAGCTCTCCTCCTGTCTGCAATCTCCCGAGTTGTCTGGGGACAGCCTGAGTACTTAAACTCTCATCAACGCATTACCAACGCTAAAGTGTTTAATACGAAGCTGTCACCCCCTGGCAGGCGCCCCCATTAACTGGCATGCTCATGGAAACCTCTGCCTTTGAAGTTGATGAATCCAACCTTTTACGTTTTACCATTTAAGCTAATGGGAAGGCACTGACATCTGTTTGTACTTACACATCTCTACAACAGAGCAGCGTTACCTAACGGTTGCTATGGCGACCTGGAGTCGCCAGCTCTGTTTGGGGGTTATAATTATCCCTATGACAGCCTTTGCTGTGGCCAGAGAGAGGAAGCTGGAGACTCATGAAAGCCAGGCTGTAAAACTTTCTGCGGCCTTCCACACTCATTTCTCACACACACACATGTGCACATACACACACATCTCCTAGGCAGGTTAAGTTTACACTCAGTGGGGCAAACCTGGGTCCCACCAAGTCAGACCTGCCCCCTCCTCTTTCTCCCTTCACATCACAGAACCCTTTGATTCTGAAAATCTGAAACTTGTAGAATCCTCCTCAAGTCTTCACTTTCTAGAGTCTTCAGATTCCAGACTTAAAAGTTCTAGAGTGCCAAAGTCTTCAACTTTCACCATTCTGGAAACTTACATTCTAGATTGCGGAATCATAGAAAGCTAGAGATACAGAAGTCTAGGATTATAGTGCCATAGTATCTTAAAGCTGAAAGAGGCCTTCAATGATATTTTGTCTCAATTCCCTACAGGAGTTCTTCCTATAAATCATCTAGCTTCTGCTTGAATACTCCTAGGAGCAGCAAGCTCACTACCTAAGGCTTCAAACATTCTTCTTTATATTGAACTAAGTACATCTCCTTGCCACGCTCACTCCCATTTCCTGTCTCTGCTGACGCCTTGGCATTATGGAGGACCAGCTGAGCCTCTCTCCCACACCAGCGCTGCCCTTCTGCCTCACAAGGGAAGCTGCAGGCGCACCTAAGACTTTTCTTGTCCAGACTCAGCAACCCCCGGGACTTTAACTGAGCACCCTCCCCAGGCAAGGCAAGTCAGGG